AATGCTTTAGCTCTAATATTTAGTTTACTAATTAATTCTGAAATATTATGCAAATTTATTTATTATACGGTTGTTTAACATTTTTAGATGTGATAATGCAAAATTCANAGGGAGGGGGAATGTAATTTATGGTTCATATGGAAGAAATTATATTTACTAATTTAATTTTGTACTTCTGTCTTCTTGTGCGTGTACTATTTGAATTTGAGGTTCCAAAAAATGTCGTAGTCCTAAGTTTATAGTCTATTAATTTACTTTTCACGTTGAATCCAAGTATACTCCTATTCTAAATGTTGTAATTAACAATTTTAGTTGTGTTCGTGTTGTGTTTTCTTTTAGATGTTTATATTTCAGGGGAGGTCAGTGAAGCCTTTGTTTTAGGCTTCCAAAATTTTGGGGCCTCAAAATTGTTAATAGTGGATTTTCTAATCTTATTTTAGCTTAGACACTATTGAATTTTGTATCAAAAAGGAAAATGTACAAATCTTTGTAAAAAAAAAAAAGAAAGACTGCTTACAATAGAAAAATTTTAGATCTTTAAATTAAACTACTCAAATCTTTATATTAGTAAATAATTTTTTTTACAATAAGATCCAAGGTAATATATTTTAAACACATGATTAGAATCTTAATAACTTGAATTAACTGATACCAATATAAATATTAATATTACTATCAGATGTTTATTATGAACATAAAAGTTTGATATAAGAATAATATACCTTAAACAAAATGCACGAGGAAAAAAAGACACTTATTAAAATTTGACTTTAGGATATTAACTTTATTTAGTGCCCTTGTTATAACGAAAAAATTAGTATGTTAATCTAATTATGATTTGTCCCCTCTTGCATTGAAGTTTCACATATCGTTTACTGGTCGATTCTAAATGGTGCGTTATTGGGATCACTTGTATTATTGATTAACTCTTCTTGAACCTGAACATCTGAAGTATTAGCGTGAACAGAATCTTGATCCTCTTATCTATGCTCCTTAAATTCATTACCCAAAACTGAAGTTTGATCTTTAGCTTTCTCTATCAATGGATTGCTTGATGTAAGAGTTTAATCTTGTTGAACTTGTGGTGGTAGTGCCTTATCACTAGAAGCACCTAGATCTCCTATTTGTTTCTCAGTTTACGTACTAGAAAGCGTTTTTTTTATTTTTTTATTTTTCTAGAGATGTTCCTTCTTAGTATTTACTTCAAACTCAGTAGCTGAACCAAAAGTTAGGGTGTTGGGCTTAACTATAGCATTTGGGATGGATGAAGAACCAGTCAGGCTAGGTTAGACAGCCGATGCTGCAGGTTTCATGGAGTGACTCAACATTTGTTGAGTTCTAGGTCATGAGGCATTTGATGGGCATGCAGAATGGAACAACGAGCTATTACAAATAAAGTACACATTATTGGAAAAATCATTTGTACTGTCTGGGATAGATGATTAGGTTACAAGACCTCTTCCAGGTATTTGGAGGGCAGTTTTAGACGTTGTGTTTTCTTGATTAGAGGCAACATTTGAAGGGATGTCAATCTTCGCATGCAGCCACATCAACAGCTTTGACCACGAAATCTGGGCTCATAATAGGCCTTGGCAATGGCTTTTTGGGATTACATGAGGTGTTGACGATGACAATTATTGGTGATGCTGGGATTATGTACCACCAGATGCAATATTAGCAGCAACAAAATGTGAAAACTTACTAGGTTCACCGCCTGAAATTTTCCCCACACCAGCACCAATTGGACAAGCTGCTTTCATATTATCTCTCATAGGCATGTTAAAAGATATGGACATTGTGCGACGAGCTGCTAGCTGAGCCTCTAAAAGCTATGAGCCATTATTGATCATGGTCCCTTGTCTTTTTTAATAATGGCACAACTCTAAGAGAGTTGTGAAGTGTTTCTGTCTCTCTTAAAGTCCCCTTTTAATATGTTTGTCCAGTTTCTTTTGTTGCACTATAATAATGACTTTTATGTCTTCTACTGCTGTCATGATGAGTCAAGTGGTAGCACAAGCTGGTCCATGGGTATCTAATCCCTTGGCAACCGCCACAGTTGAGAGTGAGGGTTCTTTTTTTGTACTACAACTTGGATTGTAATATTTGTTTTTGATGCATAGAAGTATCATGAAATAAGTTATCTGTGTCAGTTCTCAATGTTTGACCATTTGATATATTTATACTCGATGGAGCCTCGATAAGTGAACCATATAACATATTGGCATCATTTGGAGACCCAAAAGCAATTACTCTATTTAGTACCTTTATACATTTATACATGCTGCAATTTCTACTTAAGCTTCACTGTTTACAAAAGGCATCGCCTTCAATTCACATTCTAAATCACTATCATCATTCAAAGGTTGAACGACATCATCTAATTTATCAAGCAAAGCTATGTTTTTTTTTTGTTTTAAATAGCACCATATAATTTGATACTCTCTTGCATTGGTAATCCATATTATAGAGTTTTTCACTAATGCATTCCATTCAATCATTATTCAACTACCAACTTATGTTTCTACCTTAGCGAACACTCTCAACACTATAATTGCATTATTCCTTTGTAAGAGAGTGAAAATGTCATCTTCAATAATATAACATTTTTATTTTTCCGATTTAAAGAGTGGGTAGCAAGAGAAAAGAGAAAACCTAGCTTAATGGAGATTCTAAGAATAAAGAGCAAAACATCATTATTTTTTGATAATAGGGGTATTGACTGTGGAAGAGTATAGAAGCACACAATAATTGGTTGGTGTTAGCCAAAGAAACGGGAAAGATAAATCGTGGTACTTGATTAACACTCTTTATGATTTTTGTAGGTTACGCTAATTTTATTAGTATTTTATGAGTCTTGATTGTTGAGCCTCCACACAAATGAAACAAGGGAAGAAAAAGAGAAATACCAAGAAAAATAATAATAAATAACCAAAAGAATAAAAATAAAATCATTTGTGCAGAAGAATCAACTTCCTCCAATCAGAACCATGCTGCAATACGTGGCACTGAAGCACATGTTAATGATTGATGTTCGGCTAAACGTATATATTTTAATATAAAAACTGCCTCTTATTTTACTCTAATTTTATTGGATTTTATGTGTATTATAATGAGTTGAGCTTATTTGGAGTGTTTTATATGTGTAAAAATTAATCGGGAGTGAACGTGCTCAAGTTGAAGCAGAAAAAGAAGGAAAATGACAAGTGCAAGATTCTAGCATCTAGGCCTGCACTAGGCGTTTCCTGTGGCGTTAGAAATAGAACTTTCAAGAGGCCAACGCCCAGGCTAGCATGGTGCGGCCCTCAGGATGTCGACTTCCGAGAATTGTCCTATTTCGACATGGAGAAGATTTTTTGGTCCAACACGCCTCTAAATTGTATAAAAAGGTTTCTAAACCTAATTTTAAGGGGATGTATGATATTTTGGTGGCAGAGAACGCAGGCCACGCTTGAAGAAAGCTTTTAACTAGTTTTTTCTATTCTTTTCTTTAATTTTATAATTTATTTTTTCTAGGGTTATGGGTGATACATGAACGTTGTAGTTTGAAGCTTGAATTGTTCTTATTAATTATTTATTCAACCATGCGCTTGCTTTTTGATTGGTTGATCATCAATTAAATACTATCTACGAATCTATAACTGAATTAGAGAGAGAAAATTCTAGATTACTAATGGGATTGAGTAGAGCAAGATTCTGAACCTGGGTCTCGGGAATGTATTTGCAGTGATAGGCCCTTAATCGTTTTCTTGGTTACTATACACGAATTATTATTGCATTCTTGTTATTTCTAATTTCATAGAAATATAAGCATTAGATTAGCTTGAATATGCGAGTAGTACTTAAAAAAAAATACTACGAGTAATATTAACATGTCAATCAATAAACTATATAAATTAATTAGTCAAATTAAGTGAAAAAAAATTAACGGAATTGTTAGCTGGCCTATATAGCCCTAGAATGTTTTCTCTCATTGAATTCGCCTCTAGGGTTGCCGGCTTATTTTCTTTATTTTCTTAGTTTATTACTCTAGATTACCTTTAGTTAAATAATCACACTTTATAAAATCGTTTGAATAGATTAATTATTTTAGTTTAATTTAGTTGATAATTAATCACAAGTCATCGTGGAAATAATATTCTACTTATTACTTTATTATATGATGATCGTGTATACTTGCATGTGTATTTGACTAACAATGATACTTCAGGAGTAGATAGGATCACATTAGACATGTAACTGATATTGCCAAAGTCGTAAGCTAAGATTCTATAACCATAGCATTCTGGTTATATCGGATAGGCCAAAGTTTGGTCCTTATAGCTAGTGGCGGAGGCAGAATTTTCAGGAATGGGGTTCAAAAAATATTTTTTGTAAATGAGAATTGAATCTATGACCTTATGAAGGTTTTTGAATCCTCTTGATCACTAAACTACACTTTTGGGTTGTATTAAGGGGATTCAAAACTTAATATATAGAGGTAAAAAATAGATTTTCCTTGAATATACAGTGTAATTTTTCGGCGACGCCCCCCTAAATCCACCACTGCTTATAGCTCGTTTGGCCAAGCTGTAAAAATCAGTTTATTTTGAGAAGTGTTTTTTCAAAAGTAATTTTGGCGAGAAATAATTTGTATTTGGCTAATTAATTTGAAAAACAGTTCCGATCAACAATTAGTGTTTGACTTACCTCCCCCAAACAAAACAAAAAAATAGAAGCAAAGAAAGAAGCTTTAACTTTTTGTTCGCACGATTTCTCAAAGGCTTCTGGATCTGTTCGTTCGGTAAGTTGACATTTAAATTAATCCTATTTTATTGTAGCATTAAACATTTTTAGCTGTGTTAATCCGACGTTTTTTTTTTTAATGTATTCTATATGTTCATACAGAGGAAAATTGATGTTTTTATAAGTTAGAAGAGAAATTAATGTTTGTGTTGTCGTATATTGAAGTTTCATATTTTTTTGATGGTCTATTTTGAAGTTGATCTGAAATTGAGGTTCCGGAAAATGCCTTAGTTCTAATTTGTTCTTTACTAATTGATTCTGGAATGTGCAAGTTTCTTCTTTTTGTATCGTTGTTTTTTAACATTTTAAGCCGTGAAGATGCAATGTTCTCCATATTTTTCTGGTGAATTTTATGGTTCATATGGAGGAAATTACGTTTCTGATCTAATTTTTGTGGTTTCTATTAATTTTTTTCTGAAGCTCCGGGTTGATTCTGGACAGTGCTTCACAAGTGTTACAAGGGATAGACTTTATATGCATCTTTTCATTTTACCATGTCGAATTCAAGTTTATTCGTATTCTAAATGTTGCAATTAATATTTTTAGATGTCTTCACGCAAAGTTCTTTTTTATGTGTTTATCGAGGAAATTACATGTTATATTATGGTCGATTTGAAACATGACTTGATTTGAATTGGAGGTTCCAAAGNTAGCTGTCTTCACGCAAAGTTCTTTTTTATGTGTTTATCGAGGAAATTACATGTTATATTATGGTCGATTTGAAACATGACTTGATTTGAATTTGAGGTTCCAAAGATGCCTTAGCAGCTCTAGTTGTATACTTTATTGATTGATTCTGGGCAATGCTTCACAAGTTCTAACAAGGAAGAGACTTTAAATGCATGTTTATTTTGTATGTCTAATCGGAAGTGTGGTACATGATTAGCTCTCTTCGAGTCTAATTGGAATTGTGGTACATGATTAAATCTCTTTATGGTTTATGTAGGTTGTCGGTTCCGTTTGTATTTGAGTTTTGATTGTTGAACCCCCGCACAAATGGAAGAAGAGAAGAAGAAGAGGAAGAACAAGAAAAAGAAGAATAAACAGACCAAAGGGATTGAAAATAATGCCGTTGGTGCAGAAGAATCAGCTTCCTCCAATCAGAATCATGCTGCTGAAATACGTTGCGCTGAAGCACATACTGATGATACTTCAGGAGCAGATGAGACTCCTAGTAGACATGTTACTAATGGTGCCAAAGTCGTAAGTTTGACTTCTGCAACAAATCATTCGGGTTTATAGGTTTATTTGTTTTCCAAATCTGAGCGGAGTCACGTTTCTAGAACCATATATATGTAGTTTCCATGCCACTTTCTGATGTATTTTTTTTTTTTGGTGAAAAAAAAAAGGAATTCTTTTGTATTTCATGCGTTCATATTTTAACATCATTGGGTGCTCCAAAAATACAGCCAAAAAAAAAAGATTGTCCAATTGATAACTGTCCTTGTGTTAAAAGCTCCAAACTTGTCTCCATGAATTAATCATCAAACGTTGCTTATTAGCTTCTTGCTTCCAGCTAAACTCAGTTTAGAAATTGAACTGCTGCACAACAAAGGTTGTGTTGGTTGTGAAGAAAAAGTGGGAAATAAAACTTTGTGTGTGTGTGTGTGAGAGAGAGAGAGAGAGAGAGAGAGAGAGAGAGACATTGTCCAATTCGTAAAGAATATCTTTTTTGCATCATCATCACCTTATATGGTTGAGATTAAATAAGGGCAGAAAATTGTTGATCTAAAGCCCAAAATGGTGCCTTTCACTTCGTCAGAATCCAACTTAGCTTATAGCCTTATACTCATCTCTAAACCCCATACTAGGTTTCCTTATATTCAAAGTTATGCTAAAATTGCTGCATCATTATTGAGAAAGAATAATAAGAACTTACGTAGTTTTCCTTATGCTTGATCGCTGAGAGAATCGGTATAAAAACTTGAAAGCCCTGTTATTTTATTTTTATTTTTTGATAACCGTAGTGACCAGGCCAGCTTGCGAAAGCCCCGTTAGAGAGCAACATTTTCCTTCTTTCTTTCTTTCTTTAGTTTCCTTTATGGACAAAAATGGAGGTGCAACATTAAATGCCTTTTGTAGAGTGCTTTCTTTTAAACTGTGTAAGCGGGTTTTAATGAAATTTTAACCATAGGTAACAGATTCTTTACATTTCAAAGTTCTATGGAAAGCTGGAAGATCTGGAAATGGAGAGGAGTCCTTGCCCCAGTGAAGGTGAAGTTAATAGGAGAAATTCATGAAGGAAAGGGTGCAAGGAAGAAGAAAATAAGGAGAGAGAAAATGAAAAGAGTGATATTGGAACGTCTTGTGGGAATCAGGAAACGGAAATAAATAAGAGAAGAAAAGAAGAAAAATAAAAGCATAAGGTTTAGAACTAATCCTGCTTGGTGGAGTTTGATAGGAAGTAGAAGTAATTAAAAAATATGTTGAATGCCTTTTTACCTTTCTATTTTAAAGCCATCAAAAATGGTAACTAAACAGGTTCCCTGCTAACTTTTAAGGAGGCAGATGGATTATATGTGCAGAAAAAGTAATTCATGGGGTTAGTAGCAAAAGAGGCTATGATCTAAGGGGCTATAAAACAACAACAAACCCAATTTAATCCCATAAGTGGGGTCGGGGGAGGGTAGTGTATATGTAGACCTTACCCCTACCCTATAAAGGTAGAGAGGCTGTTTCCGATAAAGGTAGAGAGGCTGTTTCCAATTGACCCTCGGCTCAAGGAACTGGGGGGGGGGGGGGGCTACAAAGCACTTCACAATTTCCATTTGCTGGCTGCTATCATTGGAGTCCACTTCTGGCTTTTGCTTGCTTGCTTACTTGTTTATTGTTCCTTTGTATTGTTCATTTTTTGTTACTTCCTAAAAGTATTGGGTCTTTGATACTTTCTGATATGTTCTCTTTTTGGTACTCTTGCTGGTACAGTCATCTTTAGCAGAAAATGAGAAACACGGTAGGATGGATACAGAGGTGAGTTAAGGCCTCCTTTTTGGGCAGTGTTTTGAACTGCTTTTAGTTATGGGCTCATTATTTGACGATAATTGTATTCCTATCTCTCTCTATCTTTATATTTATTTAACTCATGACAAGTAATTGTTTTCTCTATTTTATGGACAGCCCACTTCTCAAGAGAAAATTAAACAATTACAGAAAGACAAGGATGCACATATGCAAAAAGAGGTACAAGCTGTAAAATCTCTTACTTGCGTAGTCTTTACCTGAGTTTACATTCATATAAAATCGCCATATATATTTCCTATCTACATTATAATTGAAGCATCTAATGCTTACAGCTGTTTTACAGGTTATTTCTGAGGAGAAACTTAAACAATTAGCAAAGGAAAAAGATGCCAATTTACTGAAGGAGGTAACAAAAACTCTACGTACAAATTTTGCATCATAGAACCTATAACTTTCTAATTCATTTTTAGGCCAAATTTTGGTGCTTAATCAGTTTTAAGATATTCTTTCCTCCTTCTAACATTATGGATTTGCCTTGATCTGCAGTCTAACCTTGAAGAGAGGATTAAACAACTACAAACTGAAAATAAAAATCATATGCATAAAGAGGTATTTTTGAACTGCCCCTGTCCCAAAATGGGCACCCCTTTCCATTCCAGAGGAAAACAATTGATTTTGGACTAAAATTTAAGTGTATCTTTTCGTGACTCAAATATTGGTACAACTGTGTAGTACTTTTTATGTGTTGTTCGAATTATGCATTTACATTTTCAAAATTGAATTATTCTAGTCCACTTAAATTTTGAATACTGGTCAATTGACCCTTGATGAGCGAAAAAGGACCAGGGGAAGAGGAAGTATCATGCAACAAATTGTACAGAGGTTGCAAATCATTGCTGTGTTGCTAATAATCCCTTTTCCCATTTATTCTATCTACTTTGAGTTTTATGCTCTTCTGCAATCTGCAGGCTAGCTTTGAGGAGAAAATCATGCAATCTCAAAAAGAAATTAGCAGTCTCAAGAGGCAAGAGGTAATGGGGAAACATGCATAGATGCATATTGCACTGAAAATAGTTATGCTTTCTGGAATGTATTATCCACCTAAAAGGTCTTTCTTTGTTTGGTCATTGATCCTTCTAGAGCAATCAGTGACTTTTTGGGCTTTTGCAGGCCGGCCAAGAAGAAAAGTTAAGACAACTGCAAATGGAGAAAGATGTCTACCTGCAGAAAGAGGTTCTGAAACTTCTAACATATTCATCTTCTACTTCTGTGGAGGTGTTCAAAGATATATGCACTTAGGTTTAGGGTGACGCTAAAATATTATCTTTTATTATCATTAGGGCTCCTTGATCGTTGCCTTTTTACTCATTAAAGAGTCTTTAAAGTTTCGGTCTACTTGACAAGAAGTTTGCTCTCTGTAATTTTCAGGCCGAGTTCGAGATGAAGAATTCTCAATTACAAAGTGAAAAGAATTCCTGGCTTCAAAAGGAGGTGATAGCTCCATATTACAACGAACATGTCCTTGTTTATTAGAATCAAGTTGTTTTTTTTCCTCTCTCTAAGAATATATATTCATTTTACCTTTACTGGATATAAGAATTGGATTATCATATCCTATTCTCCACTTCTGCCCCCAATTTTGAGGTTTTCTTTTGAGGCATGCAGTAAGTTTCAGTCTATACCTTGTTCGTTGCAGTCAGGCTTTGAGGAAAGAATTTGTCAGTTGGTGAATGAAGTGGAGAAGTTGAATTCAAAGAGGGTAATGATTCCTGAACTTAGTATTATTAGATCTTTATGTGCTTCTGTTGTTTCACTTGATTGTGGGGGTCTTTTCATCCTATTGACTTTTGTGCAAAACTTTTTAACTTTATGTATTGAGGAAATTTAGTTATATTTTCTCCTTGATAATTTGATTGGTTCCAAAAATTTCACGAGAATAACTTTAGCACAAATATCAGGAGAGCTTGGAGGAAAAAGTAGAAGAGATGGAGAAGGAAATAGAAAACAGAGTCCAGAAGGAGGTAATCTCTCTTCTATCTAGTAATTTTGACAGGGATTTGTTCCTAATATCCACTGTGCTGATACTTTCAGTTTTTGTTTTTCTCTTGGTTTTTTCTTCTCTTGGTTTTTGGTTCCATTTGGGGCAAAAAATAACTAAAAGTTGCAAGTTTGGTATTTTGGATTGATTATTGCAGTAAAGGAGATAGAGGATGAAGTTAGGTATTGATTAAAACAGAATCCTTGAGATGGGATAGATTTTAGCCTAATACCATCTTTCTTGCAGGTTCACTTGGAGGAAAAAAACAGTCAATTGGTGGATGAAGTGGAAAATTTGAATTCGATGAGGGTAAAGAATTTAAAAGTCACTGTTAGTAAATTCCTATGCACTTCTATTGTTTCACTTGATAGTGGATGTTTTTCATGCTTTTGACTTCTGTCTCATACCTGTTTACTTTCATGGTGTTTAGCAATATATTTATGTTCTCCTTGATAATTTCCTGGGTTACAAAAACTTTTCGAGAATGACTTATAGCATGAATATCAGGTGAGCTTGGAAGGAAAAGTAAAAGAGATAGAGAAGGAAAGAGAGAACTGGTTCCAAAAGGAGGTAATCTCTTATATCTTAATGCTTTTGTTTTGAGTGGACTTTGTTGCTAGTGTCCGCTGTTCAGAGACCTATATTTATCATTTCAGTTGGGGCCAAGTAATAACTAGCATTTAACAAGTTAGGTATTTCGGGTTGCATTGAATGCAATTATGTTACACAGCTCCATTAAGTTGCTATAAAAATTCTGTGAGTAGCGATATGATATGCTTATTTGATGAGGAGAAAAATGAATATGATTCAAGATGCTTGGCAATTGAGAAGAAACATATTCATAAAAGTATTTGGCTTTAATTAAATGCTCATAGATATAATTATTTAGCAAAAACAAAGTGGACACTGAAGAAATTGTTAAAGAAAAGTGAATAACAATTTGAGTCAGATGGTTTTGGAAATACTTGGTGACAGATAAATGTGGTTTCTACTAAGAAGAATAATAAGTTCTCTTGTTCACGAAGCTGTCTGCTCTGTAGAGGGAATAAAAGACAAAAAATAACATGGAAAGAAGGAATCATGGTAAATCATACTTAGCAAGTGCAATGCACGATGTTCATTCATTTGGGTCTTCCTGTATGATGCCAAAAACTTCTGTATTTTGTCCTAACAGATTTCAAAAAGTCATTTTTGCTACTCAACATGTACTTTTCTTGTTTTCTTCCATCAAGTGGCATTTTCTACTTAATCGTAATTAGTCATGTTCTGTACATATGAACCGAAATGTCAGTAGGAAGTGCTACTAAGATGAAACAGTGAGATATAAAAGCTTTATGGCAGATAATGGCAGTACATTTTTCTGTGGAAAACCTACTGTACTAATCTTTCTGGATACAGGGTTTTCTTTAACAAGACTGTGTAATAAGGTGGTGCATGCGAGTCAATGTGCACTTAGCCAATTGCACATCAATGAGTTAAAGAACAACTATTAATGTCATTTAGTTTACTGGAACGCAGAGCAGCTGCTCAGTTTTTTCTGGGCACGCATATAGAGCTTAGTTGGCTTTAGCACTTCCAGTGGAGTAGAAAATGAGAAAGGAAAATAGTTGACTGGTCTGAGCTACATGGATAAATCTGTTTGATTTTCCTTCGCTAAGCTACTTGTGAATCAATTGTTGCATTCTCCTCCCAATGCAGTAGCCTTTTTTCAAGAATTTACTTATGAACATAAAGAAGAAAAATAACAGGGGACATAACCTAATTGTTAGTTTTATCTTTTAAGTGCTAGTTATTGTGAAATGCTTCAGTAAGTTCAAAGCATACTCTCTTGTTTTTTTTTGCAGAAGTCATTTCGAGAAATAATTTCCAGCCTGAGTGGTGATAATGCCCTTTTAGAGGCACAGGTATGCAGTTCCAGCGACCAGAATATGTGATGATTTTCTTGACTGGATTTCTTTTCCCATCAAACTGTTATAAACCTGCAGATTTGGGTTTAGCATCAATCATACAATGGGTTCTTTGTAAAATAGGGCAACCCAGTGCACAAAGCATCCCTATTCACGCAAGGTCCGGGGAACCACCGCACCAAGGGGATGTGTTGTAGACAGCATACCCTAATGCAAGCATTAGTGGCTGCTTCCCCAGTTCGAACCTGTGATCTATAGGTCACATGAGACAACTTAACCGTTGCTCCAAGGCTCCCCTTCACAATGGATACTTTGTCCATATTGGAATTTTGATTTGAATAGTTTTGGCGTTCCAAATTCCAATGATGGGATGCAACTTTATTGATTGATATGAATTGTGATATTACTTTTCCTGAATTATTAACCTGTGTGTTTTCTTAGACCATATGTATTCTCCTTATACATAAAAGTAATTGGGAGTTGTAGTTGAGCATCTAAAATTTTGATCTAAGCTTTGCTTTTCCAGACGGTATATCCTGAATTTTGTAATGTTGTCCTTATTATGGTTGTTGATGTGTGACATGGTGGAGCGAAATTGATAATCATTGCCTATTATTTCCTAACATGGAAATTAAAATCAAAGCCTGGCAGGTGAAGGAGTTCGAAGGGTTGAGGACCACTATTGTACAAGAAAATCAGGTACTCAAAGAAAATGTACAAATTCTGCAGACACAAGTCTATAACCTTGAGAAGAGTGCTGCAATACCTTATTCACCAACTGGGAGCAAAATGGTTAGTTGTTAATAATCTCTTTCATATAAACCTGGTCCTATTATTTGTTTCCTTTCATTTGTGGTGTACTGCTGGAAGGTGCCAGACCCATAGCACCATTCCTTCTTATTCTTCTTCTGCTCCTCCTCTCTAAAAGCACATTTCATGTTCAACATTCCCTGTGCTCTTTTTGGTGCTTCATGGATCTCCTGTTATATCATATATGTCCTCCATGTATCACTAGAGTTGCACAGAGGTGCCTGCACACTATATTGCTGCATAAGCTAAGATACTTATAATTTTGTGGACATGTTCGGTACTAACCATGGATTGGGCTTTTTTCGTAAAGTTTTTGTAAAAACGAAGAATTTAATTCGATTTTCTCTCCTATTTACTACGGCGACGAAGAATCAGATTATCACTATATTTATTCCTTTTTCTATTTCTTCTTCCAAGTGCTGAACTGCAGGATAACCCCTAGGGGTTGTGGGTTTTTTTCTACCAATTTGGGCTCTCTCCCTTCACCACCCCCATGGGGATGGTCTACAGGGTTTATAACTGCTCCTCTTACTACATGATGCTTACCTGCATATATAACTTGACGTTTCATGGTTGGGTCGATAGTTCACTAAGATAAAGTACGTAGCTAGAGGAATTTTCCTAGATGTCACTCCTATATTTTAAGATTTGAGAGAGTGCATAAATCAGGGAACTCTTCCCTTCAGATTTGCAGAAATCTTAGCCCATGCAGGGATAGAAACTTCATATCAGATTTTTAGAATCTTGATCCTACATGAGTAATATGGAAGTCAAACATGACCGATTTTTACACTGTCCACTTGGATGCCAATTGGTTTGTGGGGAAGACATTAGGACCAATGGGAAAAATCCCTCTTGAGACTATTCAAGGAGTGATAGGAAATAACATTGTTGATTTGGCTGGCCAACCTCATACGGCGTCATGACTCATAAGGAAGATTGAGATTAACATGTTGAATTTTTAAATATTTATTAGTAAAGATCATGATTGAATAAACAATAAACATGAGAATGTAGTTAACTTGACAAGTATTAAGTGACCTACTTGACCATTTTCTATTTGATGATAACTATTAGCATATAAATTATAAACCATTTTTAATGGCACTTAATGTATTTAAGTGATCTTCTCTTTTCATGAAACACATTCAGTATGTACATGCATTCTAATCACATAACATTTCAGTTTGAAAGTTAGGGATGTAACCAAAACAAATTTATATTATGGGTAATGGACAATATATATTAACTATCAATATATCTATGTACTTACAACACATTGTTTCACATCAACATGCTAACATAACCTATTTTGCTTTGTCTTGATGTAGAATACTCTTGAAAATGGGGATCTGAATTCTGAATTAGTAGTTACCCGGGCATTGGTGGACAAATTAGTCAGTGAGAATGCAGAGCTTGTGGAGAAGGTATTAGTAATGAAATTCCGCTTATTATTCTCTTACCTGAAGAGTCTTAGATTATGATATAGTCGTCTGGATTGGTAACCATTATTTTCTTATATAGGTGAACAAGTTAAATGTGGAGCTCGAACAAAGAGGTCCAGCAATGGAGGTATCTTCATCTTTAGGCTCCGATGCAGTTAGCAGGAGCTTTGGGGCAGCTCATGTTGCCAATGAATCAGCCATTGCGTTAGATATGAGGCCTGGAGCCGTTCAGGAGCATGAAGTGGATCATGATACAGAGCCAAAATCTAAACTCAATGAAGCAGTGCTGCAGTCAGGTGAAAGGCTGCAATCTGTAGAAGACGCCATCGACAAAGCTGAGAGGAGAAATCACGAGCATGTGGCTAAGATAGATGGCAGTGTTGTTGTAAATTCATCAGAAATCGAGTCTGATGAAATAGTACAAATCCCATTAGACGAGAATGAAGTTCAGTCAGTAGATTTAGAGGCTGCAAAAGTGAATCAGCATGATGAAGAGGTTCCGCTCACCAATGCACCGTTAATTGGTGCTCCATTCCGTTTGATATCCTTTGTTGCTAGATATGTGAGTGGTGCTGATTTGGTTGATAAGAACTCAGCAACCTCAAACCGATAACCTGTAGCTGTAAGTTTTTACACAGTGAAAAGGAGAAGATGACACCAAGATTAAACATGGTCATGTCTCTGAGCTGAATGAAATTCTTATTATAGTCTTAGGCTGGATACTGCCCCTTTTTCTACCAAGTTTATCCATAGGGCTTATAGTTATAAAAGATTGAAATCTTGATTTTGACCGTTTTAAACACATAGCTGAAAGTTTGAAGGAAATGTGGAACCAAATCTATGCTAGAGAGATGAGAGTTGCAGTTGGCTAATTTAGCCAGATGGATTTTGTATCCATTTATACTTCATTTGGATGTGTTGCACTATCCCTTTAAGCTTCTACTGCATGGGTGGCTTACATCATTAGTGTTAAAATTTGGGTAAAACTGGGGGAATTCCATAAAAGCAAGCATGCCTTTGTGAAATTGGATTCGTATTGCCAATGAAGTAAACAAACAGGCTATAAGTTGAATTGTGAAAAGTATTACAGATTGCCTTAATAGCCCATTGGCTCCTTTCCACTGTTCAAATCATCAAATCAAATGGTAAAATAAGTTTTGGGGTAAACTAAACCTAGACATAAAAGTGAGATTGAATTATTCGTTGATTTTACAGAATCAGTCAGATATGGAGAAATGATGTCTAAAAAGTCGGAATTATACTTGAAAGAAAAAGATAAAATTTGCACTTTTGGTAATAGAATGTAGTATGACAAATGCATGAGTAATCATGGTGTTGGACTAGTTGGGCTCCTAGACTTGTTATCTTCAGATGATGGCCTGTTTCCAGAATCTGATTGCTGAATATCCTCAATCATCTGGACAACTTGGTTCATGTCAGGTCTTGTTTCTGGCACTTTTGCTACACAGGTCATTGCAATCTGCAGCATCTGCACCATCTCGTCTTCGATATTTTGAAACTTGATGAGCTCAGCATCAAACACCTCAGCTGTCCACTCCTCCCTGACAACAGACTGCACCCATCTCGGTAAATCTACCACCTCATCATGACCAGGTGGCTGCACTGGTGCTTTGCCAGTAAGGAGTTCAAGAAGCAGAACGCCAAAGCTGTAAACATCGGATTTCTGAGTACATTTCCTTGTCTCGATCACCTCGGGTGCTCTATATCCTGCACTCCTAGATGGGATTGTAGGAGAGCCCATTAGAGGAGTAAGACCAACATCTGAGATGCATCCACTATTGTCATGGGTGAGAAGTACATTGGATGACCTGATATTGCCATGAATTAATTTCCCACCGGTAACAGAATGGATATGGGCAATGCCACTTGCAGCTCCATGCGCAATCCTTAACCTGGATTCCCAGTCCAGTGTTCTTCCCAACTCTCTGTTGCCTATAATCATAAACAAGGAACAATGAGACGAAAACACTCTCTTGTATAAATAGTTAGATTGATAATTAGGATTAGCGTTCGACAACTTGCAAGTTGCACCTTGCTTCAAAATTTTTGTAGAGCTGTGAATGCATGAAAGCATTATCACATGTCCTATTCTTTGTAACTACAAACTCTTCATGACAAATTGTGCTCATTTCAGGAGAGTTTCTTTACATGGAATCTCTGAATGCTTTTAGAAGGAAATTTGAATAGAGGCTTTTCTGATTTCATGAAAGTTTTAGCTCAGTTGATTTCTGGTCCTAAATACCCGAATGGGTATGACAGCTTAAAGAGTGGGAGGATAAAAGGGAAAGAGAAGGAACTTTACCATGCATTCGAGTGGATAAACTGCCCGCTGGTACATGATCATAGATAAGAAGTTTCTCATCCTTTGAAAAGTAATAAGCACGAAGAGCAACAACATTTCCATGCTGAGCAACGGTGCCAATTATCTCCATCTGTTGTTCAAACTCTCTTTTGCCAACAACAACTTCCTTCAGCCGTTTCACAACGACAGTTGTTCCCTCCTCCAAGATGGCCTTGTAGGTTGTTCCATAACTCCCTTTACCCAAAACCTCAGCTGAGGCTCTCAACAAATCTTCAAGATCGAAATTGAAGGAACAGCCCCCAAAGAAAACCAATTTGTTCTTTTCAGCAGCTTGTACTCCACTACTGAAGTCCTCTGGTTGCTTCGGACTTCCTCCTCCATTAAAGTCTTTTCTTTCCTGAACACCTCTCGTAGTATAATATCGCTTCATACAACACAAGAAAATCAACACAGCTAGACCGAGAATCCCTCCAATACCCCCTGCAACAATGCCAATGATAATCCCTGTGCTTAAGCTCCTCTTGCCTTTTAGCTTTTCAGGAATTGTTGGAGAGGATGGCAGGACACTTGGGGAACGAGATAGTGGAATTGGACTCAAAGGTGGAAGTGAAGGGAATGGAGAGGGTGAAGGTGCAAAAGAAGGGCATCGAGTCAAGGGTGGTCCACATAATAGAGAATTTCCTTGAAATGAAGAAACAGGAAACTTTGCAAGGGATCGTGGAATTGAACCATTGAGTTGGTTGTTGCTCATATTCAATTGCCTAAGCCTTGGCAGGTTTACATTAGGAATGGATCCTGTGAGCGAGTTGTTTTGTAGGTTTAAACCAGTAAGACTTGTCAAATTTTGAACTGTTGTTGGAATTTCTCCTGAGAAGGAGTTGAAAGAGAGATCAACGAAGTTGAGCTGTGGAGATAGAGAGGAAGGAATCTCACCAGAAAGTTGGTTTTGTTGGAGAAATATGAAACGGAGGGAAGGAAGAGAGGTGATGTCTGAAGGAAGATTTCCCTTGAGCCCATTGGAATGAAGGCTGAGGGTTGTTAGTGCATCCAGTCTTCCTATGGTATTGTCTGGAATAGGACCATAGAGTCCAATAGCAGGAAGCCGAAGTGCAACAACACGAGTTCCATCTGAGTTGCAACTGACGCCATGCCACGTGCAAATGGAAGAGTTAGTGTTCCATGTGAACTTTCTAAGATGAGGTACTGCAGAAGCAAAGTCAAGTAGCGCTTGTCTATCTGAGCTTAGGTCAGCAATAACTTTCGGGGAGAGGAGCAAAAATGGAAACAGGGAAAGAGCAAGCAGAGCTAGTAGCTTCATCATTTTAATAATTTGGAATGAATATGATTTCCAATTTGCTCCCTCCCAAGTCAACTCAAGTCTCCATATTGAGTATCATCCATTTGCATCACCTAGCAACGATAGTACCACCGTGAAACAAAGTTAGAAGGAAATTAAATACACGCACACAATACTGTTGCAGTATGAAATGAGCAGCCAATTCTCATGGTCAATCAAGCAAATCAGTAGGGTAAAGGATCTATACTAGTTTCAAAATCTGAATTTCCAACAACTAGTATGAATCCTCACTTGTCCACTCATATCATCATCATAAGCCTATTGTTGATGTATATTCACTTAAATTCACAGTAACGGTTAAGGCCTCCTTTAGAAACAAACATCTTAAAAAGTTAATGGCCTCCCTAATGCACTAAATCGAGGAGATAAGGCCATTTTGCTGAGATCATTAAAGCCCATGTCCAGATTCTTGAAATGTAAAGCTTTGACAAATGTCATTAATACAGCAAATGCAAAGGAAAGGAGAAAGATAAAGCAAGAGCGAGTATACCTCAATTCTTGAAAAATGGCAAAATCCCATAGGAAATCTGAAGCTGGGGAATTAAGTGCAGTGAATAAAATGGGGGAGCTTAATAACGGTTGAGAATCTTGTGCTTTACAATTCCCCTCTACTCCAACGGCATTTTGTTGAAAGAAAAAGAGTATTATTCTCTCAAGCAAGAAAGAGCCAAACTGTGTTTCTTTGAAAAGAAAAGTCTTTTCAGCTGGTAGGAAAATTAAGAAAAGAAAAGCCTTTTGAGCTTGTTCGTGAAGCAAACGGAATCTCTTTCACAGATCTCGATATTTTCCAACTACTTCTTCCTTTCTTGTTTATCTTGAAATGTACTACTCATTTTCATCCATTTTGTAACTCCAGGGATATTATTATAAGAATAAGATCCCACTTTCTGTTTATGTTAAGTGGAAACATTTTCACTGGAACTTGGTTTTGGTTGCAATATATATTTCATATTAGTGTAATAATTTAAAGAAACAAAAAGGAAAGGAGGTGCTCTTTTTGACCTTAATTTAATATTTGGTCGTTCAATTACATTCACCTAAAATTTCGGCCATTAAAGTTCATAAGACATCACTAAGATGGAGAGGGTCACTAAACATGGTCTAATTTTTCATTCATTGATATTAGTCGTTTTTACGTGACTCAAACTTCTAATTTAGAGAGAAGGGGGGGATTATGCAAATAATATGAAGACCCAAAATCGTATTAATTACTAATGTAGTAGTTAGTCCTCCAATTTTTTTGTATTCTTTGAAGAGAAAGAAAATTAAATACATATTGCAAGTGAAGCAGGCCAAATTAAGGGCAATGGCTAATGTAGAGGAGTGAGTAGTTGAATCATTTATTATTTCTGAAAATTGGTGGGGCCTAGAGCAGGGCCCCACTACTCATAAGGACAAAAGCTTAAGCCGTTGACCATGCAAAGAGTAGTTCAGATTTTCCCAAAAAACAACAATGTTAATGTAGTCTGCTTTTGTCCTTTTTTTCTCACCCAAAATTCCTCAGCTAAAACCGAAACAAACTAACTAAAATAGCGGGTTCGGCAGAAAATAGGTAGAAAAACGTAGAAATGAAACCAGGTAGCTACTCTAAGAGAATGCTATTTAAGAATTAGTTAGTGCGTTATGAATTTTAGTTTTTTAGAACAAAAATATTCTGAATTGCCCTGAAGTTAAGATTTTTAATTTAAAATTTCAGGACAAAACTAATACTGATTAATCTCTAAATAACATCCTTAATAATGAACTATCTGTGCACTTCCCCTAAAAAAACACCAAAAGTCAACTTTAACTTAACAAACAAACAGATTAAGGTTTTCTAGAGAACTTAATTCAAAGTTTCAAATTATGTTGGAACAGTGTAATTGACCTCAAATAATGTACGTACCTAATACATCACCCTTGAATAATAATGCCGACCTCTGTTAATTTACGTAATTAGTTTTTGGACACGTATGTTGCACGTGTATCTCAAATTAATCAATACATAGCTTATTTCCGAAAAATAATATAGTAGCTTATTAACTGCATACAAATTGTAAAATATTTTAAGTTTTAAAATAGAACTTATGTATAGGATACAAAATGGTAATTTGTAGTTGTATTTTTATTGTTATTTTATTAAGCACAGAAATATCATTGGTTATATCTTATTTACTAATTTTATTATAAACCATGCTCGAGGGGCCCCGGGGGTATTTCGGATGATCGTCAGACCATGTTTTGGATTTTGAGGAACTGCTCATATC